CGTGGAATCAGTTTCTTACAGGCATGCTGTACTTGGTAACGTAGTATGATTTAGTGACGTGGTATGATTACTCGACACTTCGTCTGCGTCATTAGCTTGTCTCAGTCTGCTGATAGATGGAGACCTGCCAGAGTGTTATGAATGTTAATCGATGAGCTCGGAAATTAAATTATAATCAAAATTCTGGCGGACTACTGATTGTTTTTTTAAACTTTTAATAAAGTTTATTTATGTATATTTTGTTCTTGCTTTGTTGATAATGCTAGAGTTATATGTTATTATGTACTATAATACGTTGTAATATTTCAGTATTATACATTATTTTATTTATTTTTGGCGCTATATTGCCTACACTTCCTTACAGCTTTAAGTTTTAGGAACAGCAAGTTCTGCTGACCGAACTTCAAGTCGCTGGCTACTACGATCTGTTTGCGTATAACGCTGCCAAGAAGAAGTGGTGCTGTTTCGCCTGCAATCATCCAGAGCGGGTACAGAACTTTTTGAAGCAATCCAATGCTCCAGTGATTGAAGTGAGTATCACCCTCAATTTCATATAATATATTTAACCTAATTTAACAATGTAATATACATAATCCAGGTATAATGGTTTAGTAGCAAAGTGCTAGTTTTCGATACCGCCTGTGACGGCCACCCGTGAATTCTTGGAACTAACGCAGTGTAATCGTGCCGTCCCTCTCCTCTTGCATCATGTGGTCTAGGGCATCATTTGAGCAGGTGATGTTACTTTGCGTGGATGCAAAACTGCATCACTGTGCAGGACCAGACAAAACCTGTTCAGTCATTTATCGAAAAGCCATTAGCCATAGGCATAAATATACGCTTAAAAAGGAGACAGGAAATAGTTGTTCTTATCAGCAGTATGGTTAACTAGCAGTCCACTAGTCAATCCACGATTCAGGTATTTTTTTATAAATATATACGCCTAGAGATAGTGGCATTTCAGTAGATGTCAGAACGGGATTTTGTTCGCCTCTACTCATTCATGCGGTTTTGCATTCAAACACTATGGGCAATAAATCATCAATTAGCTGTGACAAAGGTTCCCTAGGCTACTAGAAACAAGTGGAGAGGACAGTGCGACTACGTGTAAATCCAAAGATTTCACAGACCATTTCTGTTTGTATGCATATTCATAAATCGTAAATTTTGTTTCTGTGCAGCTAATTCGATCTGGAACGTTTATGATGGTAGACCCTTTGTGACGAGACGCACATCGAAAGATGCTAGGCTTTGTTTGTAAAGTTCATGTTTTTTGGATGACGTAATCATTAGCGGATTCTATTTTTTGCAGCAAATGCATGGGTGAATTTATGAAATGAAAAATGTCGTTCTGGGTATTCCCATATTCGATCGGGCTGCCAAGGCAGCAAGATGCCAATATTTCTGACCTGGAACACTATTTCTAGACTAATTTGGTTCTTGGGGCATGACCATTTCTCACTTATTCATCAGTTAAGCAGTGCTGTCTTCCTGACCTCACCATATTTTCAAATCGTGCGACTTTGATGAAGTATTTTCTTCAGCAGTGGCCTATTGGGGTTCATCGAAAGTGTGCAACGTAACAGGTACGGTAGTAGTAAAACTGTTATTGTTAAGAAGACACATTATGAAAACCAAAGTCACGGCCACTAACAACCGAAAGAAGAATGGGCTTTAGAACGGCTCGACGTAGAGGAATAACAGAATATACAGATGGTGCTGGTGGTTGCCACAGTAGATAGTTATTACGACGAATTGCAGCCCGAAGAGGCGCTCTTGATGACCGTATCAGAATACTATGCATTGTCTGTTGTTTGCAAGTCAACGACATGCTAAACTTTTGTCGACTGGTTGCACCGAAACAACGTAGATAAATTCCGTTTAGGACAATTACCGGTTATAAGAATTTTTGAGAAGTAACCTCAGCACCAGCTGAGTTCGAAGTTGATGTCTTTCACTTAGTATCGATTCTATCTACGATTTATTTTTAACGGAAGATTGTGTAACCGGGTTACAAACGAGCAGCGGCCTGTGAAAACTGCCAGTAGAACGCAAAGATCGGCGCATTGCTTCCTTTGGTTAAATTGCCTAAAGATAGATCGAAATACGTTCAAAACTATTCTCACCTGGGAACGGCCCAAGATTTGCTGACGGGTTAGATGGCTGTCCAAAACCAGGGAACACCTCATTAAAGATGCACTTGTGACGAGGAATTGGAAGCTGTACCGCAGTAGTTGTGATTGTTGCATGATATTAATCTGATATACTATTTCTTACGCTCAGACATCAGATGCTTGGCTCACTCTGCTGTTCCAACGCTGCTAGCCTTGGATGGTGACGACAACATCGGTCTTCCTTTTTATCAGATCTGCAAAGTTGTCACTCCGTGAACTTTTTCTTGTTTCGTTTATTGTTGCTGTTGCTCCCGGATGATGAACACCATCAGTTATATGGTGTCAGCACAGTCTACAATAGTCACAAACTTAAACTACATTATCAATTACTCTGTAGGGACAACTGAAAGAAAAGAAAGGAAGATGGAAATTTTTCAAGCGATGGCGAACGAGATACTTCACGTTGTCTGGTGCTTCC